CTGGTGCCATCCCTATTTTTACCTGTTCCTGTGCCTGCTTCCAATATTTAATTATTACAGCTCTTAATTATTTAATATTTTACAAGCTATAAGCTTTTTTGATGATTTAATACAATAGTATTCCTTCAAAAACTGATATTCTTTTAAAATAGGTTATATCGGCACATTGGCGTTGTATTTATTTTACGGTCTTATACTGTATTTAATGCTTCGTTTATTTCTAGCTAAATCCGTTGAAAATACATTTTGATTCTTCTTGTATCTCTTGTCCTTGAACGGAGTTAGACATTAACATGAAGGTTCTTTTCTTTCGATTTTATTATTTCTTAGCTATTACTAAAACTTGCTGAAGCTCGTATTTAACAAGTTTTCATTTTTCTTTCTTACTTAAATTTCTGAAAAACTGCCAATTATATTATTTTACGTTTGTTTTCATACATATAATTGTGAAGGAAATGTAGATGCATGTAAATATTTCAAGAAATTTAAAGAAAGATCAATCTGAAGGTGTAAATTGCAAACTATATTTTCTTATGTATGTTTCTAGAAATGTTTTCCTTTCACATAGAGATAGGACTTGCATAACATGACATTCCTTTAACATGTTTTCATTCTAAAATGGCTCCAGAATTAAGAACCATTTTTTTTTCTATAACACCGCATTTCTAAACAGTTTCATCAAAGGCGCAATTTCATCAAAGGCGAAACAATTGCCTTTATCAAGTATCTAAGACAGAACACTACTATTACCTTACACTGTAGCATATTAAAAAGTAGCATAATTAAGATAATTTATCTTTAGCATAATTAAGATATTTATCTATTAAACATCATAAAAGAAAGAAGAAGAAATAATTAATTGTGACCTATTGAGACAAACATTTTGAGTTTCATTTTCTAAATGAGAGATTGGAAGATTAATTTTAGATATAACTTTTTTGCGTTGAATGTTTCGTGAAGTTCTTATTTTATGTCTATTGCAGAAGAAATTGATATTAAATTGGCTTAATTAACAAGCTGGAACTGAAACTTATAGAATAGAGTTTGGGCATCTTAGACCTAGAGCTCTCTGATACTGACCAATGCTGGTACTGCTGTGTTGATTGCTGGTGAGTTAGCACTCATTTTAACTCGAAACTGTAGTATATGAACAGGTGAGTTAGCACTGTAATCAGATTCTTAATTTTTAATTTAAAGCTAACTAGTATCGTGTTCTCAGATCACAAGCAGAGGATATTCCACCTCTGTTAATCATTTTAGCTGTATACCTTCAAGCAAAATATTATTGCGTTCTACGAGTTCGTGGATTTGTGCATTTGGAGTGAGTGATGACACTTGATGATTAATCATAACGCAATTTATTCGCCAGTATTATACAGAAGAGTTCCAAAGACACGTTTACGGTCTTTGAAAAACTACGATAAACACATTGAAACAATCAGCAACACAGCCTTCAGGCTATCAGGATATAACGATGAAGACAGCTTCACGGCAAAGCACTGAAGTACAGCTTCCGAGTCGGTCGATCGCTCTCGAGCTAATCTCTGAACTCAACATACTCAAGATAAACTCCTAGATACACCGTTACTCCGCGTACAGAAAGGGCTTATATAGCTTTTGACCTGCCTTCGAGAACATTCTGGGGAAAATTGGTAGGAATCCGTTCTAGAATGTTCTCGCTCCGGCTTAGACATATCACCAACTTTGTCGCCAAATGGGCGATTTCGCGCAAAATCTGGGAACCCTAAAAACCGCTTTGCGCGGAAGCTATCTGACCGAAGCTGAGCATTTCGTAACAATGTTATGAAACGTTTTAATTGCTTTTATACGAATGTTGCTATCACTTTTGTATGGATTATAATAAGAAACGGGATGAAAACCCAATCAGAAATTTAGCAAGATTATCTAGTATTCAGATTTAGTTTAATTTATAAAACCTTTCTACTGAAAGAAGAACAAAGTTTAAGAAAACATTTCACCAGTGCTTATCTACATATAGCAAATGCAAAATTCTATTAGTCAAAAACAACCAAACAAAAATGAAAACTTTTTTGGAAAAACAAAGTTAAACATTTTGCTAAAGAAAACGCAGAAGATGATTTCCCTAAAAGGGAAACACCGTTTGTTTAATGGTGATTAGTAGTGATGACGAAAACAAAATAGGTAATATTGATATCTAATACTTCCCGACCAGCTGTCGGTTTAATTAACATATTTCTCTTAGCTAAAAAATAAAACACTTACGAATTAGCTCTACCATATTAACAGAAATAACAAAATTTTCAGAATGCGTCTAACTCTAGCAACATGCGCACATAACAGTTCTTCAGGCAGTCTTACGCGTAACAATTCTTTAGTTTTAATAAACAACATGGCCATTTTCTTAACGCTTTCTTTTTGTTATATTTCAAGTTCTAATGTTTTTTCTAGACAAATCTTGATCATTTTCGTCTTAAATTCAATTTTAAAATTAGCAACTGTGGGATTTACCTGCGGTGGAAGAAACTTCAGCAGAATCTCTTCAGGAATGCTGTAGAATCTCTAAAGCGACCAATTCCTTTGCGTCTGTAAATCTATATGATGATTATTATATTGTATATATGATATATTTTTCAATGAAATTTGCTTAGAAATTTTTAAAAGCAATTTATTAATTTCCATAATTGCAAATTATAAATTCTAATATTACATCTTTTGCTGCTTACCATTTACGCCATCAATTTTCCTATTTTCAATTAAGGCCTTGTGATTACTTTGACATAAATTTATTTCCTCGGAGTTAGTTTCATTCTAACATCCTTCTATATATTCTAAACATAATTACAGCCGTCGATAAGCGAATTTTAATCTTCGCGAACATATTTGCGTTAATTCATACTGATAGCGCGTCTTTCCACCCTAAACAAGTACCGCCGATGTAGCTTTATTAAATAACGACTGATCGACTTACATTACAGTCATTTTTAGAGTTTGTGAGTTAATAATATTCTTCGCGGCCTCGTCTGCTGTGTGCTGTGCAAAACTACTTTACAGCATACATCCCTTATTTTGCAAGCTATGAAAACGTAATTAAATTTTGCAAGAGATTACAACGCCTCTTTCGTTTCTCAAAGCAGTATAACAGGAAGCTTTTATCTTATAGTAATAAGGTTTCGAATTTTGATGATCCTCTTTCTCGATGTTGTATCTTTCTGGTTCCAGTAACTATGCAGCCGGGTTTGACTTCCCGAAAGAAAATATATTCTACAACAAATCAATGAATTATTCTCGGCTTTCAAGTTATTGTTGCATCACGGATAATTAAACTGCCAGTCACACAGATGCTCCATTAGGTGCTGAGTCCGATAACAAAATGAGGGACCCATGTTCTCTTCCGCTTCATGTCTGTGTCACATTAAGTGAAGGTGATTAACTGCTCAGATTTAAAAGAGGGGAAGGTTGGGTGAGTTTTCCCAACGGAATGACCCGAGGCCTTAATTAAAAATTTAATTTATGTGCTTCGTTTCCATCTCGTTAAACAACTAGTTTTATTTGCATAGAGGTTGTTAAGTTTTAATATTTAATGCTAAATGCAATTTGAATATTAAAATGCAAGTTGGTACACTGTCAGGCGAGTATACGATTTTAATTTTAGAAAATGCTAATAAATTTAATAAATCATGAAAATAGTAATATTTTTCTTATCTTTTGTAAACAGCAGAATATGTCGAAAAAAAAGAAAAGACGATTTAGTCAAAACCTAAATGTGGCAAAAGGGCAAGTAATTAATAAAAATCACTCAAGGGATATTGCCTAAGGAAAGCAATGCGGTCTTTCTAGGAAAAACTCTCTGGTATTTGTGTTAGATTTCGAGAAAACCATGAAAATATTGTGCAGCTAGCTCATATATGTATGTATCTTATTTTGCAGCTCCAGACGGTATGATGGTTAGAGGAGCCTGACTACGATACCGAAAGGCCTGGGTTCGAATCCCGGAGAAGGCATGGATGTAAAATTGTCTGTCCCTTCATAGGAGGTAGCGGTGGCCGCCTATTAGGTGCCTCCACAATAAAATATCCACCACTTCTGGAATTAGGAGTGTCCAATGTCGTTATAGACAAGTGCCCGCTATTGGAAAAAAAATCTTATTATTGGAGTCTAATATGCCAGTTCAAGGGCTATATTTAAAATGAGCATTTCATAATAGAAACGAGAAGCTTTATAGCACTAGATTTAATGAGTATTAAATTAGGAATATAGCTTCACGATTTTAGGTAAATGCCTCTAACTAGCGTTACTAGTAACCACATTTCATACAAATATTGTCAGAAAACCATGGTTCGCAAATATATAATTTTTATTTGGTTCAAAATTAATGCAAAGCTAATGAAAATGTTAATACAGTTTAATGATTCTATAATATGACAAAAATAAAATGTGAAGGTACTTTCGAAAATGTTTTATAAAGATGCAGTATTTTATGAATGAAATCAGAAAAGATGGATATTAACTGCCTTTTAAAAATATTTCCTAGAAGTTTCTGTTTGAGGTAAACAAATATTTTGAAACTATGAACATCTTTGAATGTTCATTTACGAATAGCAATAGAATGTTACTTCTTATCTGAGGATATGTAATGTTATTAAACTCAATAAGAAAATCTGAAAAGTTTCAGATTTTAACGGTTGCCCAATTTGTTAAAGTTTTCTTACGCTGTCTCTAAGCTCGCAGTATAGAATTTTCAATACTAGACAGACACGCGCGCTGGAGATAAAAATATTTTATTCCGTACAGTGTTGCCATTGCTCTCTTTGAAGTCGCTGAGTCAAATCGTTGAGTTTGTTAATAAAAAATTCGTTAAAATTTTACAAAATATGAAATAGATAATAAAACAAATTTGAAATTTAAAATTCGGTCTTCCTGGTGCACATGTTAGGGTAGAGAACAAGGTTATTCAGAATTGGATGGCCCTAGGTAGCGTCGTTTTTTCACACTGCGAAAAACATTCATATATTCATGCAGATTTTTCATTACTTAATTTATTTAAAAATTACACAGAACAATAATATTTGTTGGCAACAGTCTGAAACGCGATATACAAGTTATAGTGATTCAACGCAAAATCCTGTTTCGTGATTACTAGCCCACTTGGGCTAACAAGGAAAATTTTTATCAAATCTCTTAAAATCGATACAATCGAATTAATTATGTATTCTCAGATATTTTAAAATTTCATATGGGGTCGTCATATGCTCCTATTACACCAGTTTTATTGTTATTTATTTATAATTAATGTAGATTTGTTAGAGGAAAACTTTAAAGTATTAAACTAAGTTAATGAATACCTTATGCATACCTGTCAAAAGTAATTCAAAAATGGAAAAAGAATAGAGGTAATTAAATTCAGATTAAATGCGTCCTGTATTAATTATCATTAAAATAAGTATTCTGAAAAAAAAGAGACTTTAAAATGATAGCTGAAGCGAACTTGCGTGTGCTATGTTCACCCATTAAAATAAAAATCAAGAAATCTTCTGTTTTTATTCTAGTCCAACAAAAATATTACTGAAATAATTTAAGCTATCCTTAGTTTCTTTAATGCATTTAAACTGATTTCACATATTTTATTTTTCAATTTTTATGTAAATACTCCTTTTTATATAATCGGGAGATTTTATTACAGACTTCTTTGCCTTTTATAGATCGTTGGTAGGAATCGGTAGGAAATAATCAACGTCTGCCTCCTAAACCTGGAAGTCTGGCTTGTGTTATAGCTTTTTTAAAAGCAACTGGAAATTGACTTATTATAATGCTAATTATCTCTTCTCTTACTCGTTCCCTAAATTCTTCCTCCACAATATTATATATATACTGAAAAGGTCCAAGATTTGATAGCCTGACGTTAATATCACCAAACTTTTCAATTTCAAAAGCTTTCAGTTGTCCTTTCAGACTTGCTGGTTGCCCGGCTATTGCGGATCGGACAATTGTTTCATTGATGTACGCAGTGACTTGGAATGGTATTGGTGGAAACTGTTCTACTCTTGCCTTGCCATCGTAGACAGTGTTCATGCCAAAGAAGTTCATCACACATTCCATCTTGACTTCGTTAATGTTAATGGAAGGACCATCGCACTGCCTGAATCTGCGAATGCGGGAAAGACCATTGAAAATGCCATTGTGGTAATCCACTCTTCCTGACACAGGTATTGGACCAATCTGTTTAAAAGGGATGCCAAAATCTGGCAAAGGCGCTGGATCCAGCTTCATATTCTTAATCTCTCTTTCCAAAGTTTCGCCAATGATGGAGTCCAAATATTCATCTGCTACATTAGAACTTGAACCATCTGAAAAAGTAATCAAAATTTATGTCATCTAAAAACTACAGTCGGCATACATTTTAGTTATTTAGAATTGTGAAAAATAAAAGAAACCATCTTTTTTTACCATTCAGAGTTAGGGATAGACGTATTCACAGAGAAAATTCAAGTAAATTAAAATTATATTCGCCTTTTTAGGGCACAGAAAGAGAAAAATACAATGGATAAATCTTTTAATAGAAATAATTATTAGGAATTAAACTATTAGAGGTACTAAAGCAGCAATAATCAGCGTAATATTCCTAAATTTGCAGGACTAAGTTCGAAGGCTTAAATACAAAACCTTCCTCTTCACTTGCAAAAGTGCAAATGGGGAAAGAAAAGCCTGTCCTCATCGGACTTTTCTTTCGTCATTTGCACTTCTATAACTGAATAAGTTCTGTATTTAAACCTTCGAAACTAGCTCTGAAAATTTAAGAAATATTACGCTGTTTCTTGTTATAATCATTATTCGACGTGTTATTTTAACTCAGACATGGCTTAAATTATTTTCATATCATCATCAAAGATCGGATGTTCAGGAATAATGCTATAGTTTACCTACTTTACATATTTTGCAGCTAATTTTACGGAAAATACCTTTAGGAGGTAGATATTCCTAATTCTTTCTGGCTTGTGTTTATGTAATTTTTACTTATTTATTCATTATAAATTGTTTTGTGTCCATTTAACTGTGACCTTGTATTGTTTGCTAGACGCCTAACTGTCCAACAATCTAAGCTTACATATACTGTCGTATTGGGAATATGCGACAGACGCGTCATTGAATCTTCGGGACTGCTAAGATCACATGTGACCGACAACACATTTCGGTTTTAACGTTAGATATATTTATATCGGTCACTTTTCTTATACACTGCTGTATCCAATGTGACTGACGTGGCGTATTGTATCAAACATAACTGAAGCAAGCAACTTAATACTATGTTGGGGGCTGCGTTCGGTTTTTTGTGTCTGACATAATTTTTAGCCCAAAAAAGGCTATTCGTCTCGGAATGGTATTTTGCGTCGATTCGCTATAAATGCGTCGTTCCACCTTTCATTCTAGTCTTTTGCCGTTCGGCAAAATATAAGATATTAATCTTTTAAATTGAATTTGCCTGTTGTGGATTAACAACCTAAGTTGCTTGAAAGCAATAGATGCACTTATTAAGGATATTCATGCTTTACTTTTGAATAATATTGAATGAATACAATGTATTCAATTCGCGATGTATCTAATTAAAAATATCTAATATTTTCATTGAATAGCGTTACATTTTTTTATTATTAGACGGATAGGGCGTTAGCCTGATTTTCGAAACGGGATTTTGCGTCGCTCACTGTAAAAAGAAAATCACTTTTCAAATTGTTGCCACCAAATATTGTAGCCCTGTATTCTCTTTAACAAACTTAACTAATGAAGAATCTAAATGTGTGTATGTAGGTATGTTTATCACATTTTGAAAAACCATGTGATATCTAGTGAGAGAACAACGGATCGAACAGGAAGAGTCGTTGTTAATATCATCAGCATCAACAAATGGAACCAAAGAATGAAGTATCTAAAATTTTTTATTGATAAGAGAAAACCTGGAAAAAGGAATAGACTGTAGTTGCCTAAGTTTTTACTAATTCAAGAATGTTTCCTTTGGTTCTAGAAAATAATGTAAGGCAGAATTCTGCTATTTTTAACTTATGCAGGAACTTGCATAAAAAAGGCAGCCGTAGCAATGTAGCTAGGACAATGCAATGTGTATATTAGACATGTCTATTTTTTTACAATGTCATAGGAAGCATTCGAAACTCACTTCATTCCGTGACAATATACCTCGAAATTTCAACGCATATATCGGGAACTTGTCAGAAACGTCAGGTCTCTCGCGAACACGTGTTGGTATCGCAATGAGGTTTCCGACTCGTTTTCGTGTCAAAAGTTATGGAGCTCTAACGCAGGATCTTGAGAGCAAAATGCTTTCCTATCCCGAACAAGAACGATTCAAATGATACTGATTCGTATTGCTCAACTTAGTTTTTACGAATAACTTCCTCCAGTAAATACGGAGAGTTTGCAGTTACAAGATACTAAGCAAAAATTGTTTGATTTTTATATTTTTGAACAAACTTTCAAGTTTATCTTATCCCGTTTCAGTACTCTGAGCTGTAGGCAGTATAATTTCTGTTTCCTCTTTTAACTGTATTGAAGTTAATGATTTGGGATTTCAGACTAATATTCATGAAAAGATGCAGCAATCGAAATTTACTACATTTACATGTAAAGTTTCAATGAAAGCTAGAATAAAATATAATTATGCTTTCTGTTGAAACGCTGTAAGGGCAATGAAACGCTTATCCATATCTACCACATGTAATGATGCTTATAGACCGGATTACCAAAGGAAGATCGGCTCATGAGCACCAACTCAACCATAAGTGCATATTGCTGCGAGCTACTGGATCGTTGATGTTTTTTTGAGTAACAAGTCCAATAATAAACAGTACACACAGCACAGTGATGTCTGGAAGTAACTCAAGGAGAGCGCTGATATTCCTCTTCAACAGATGAAGTAAAGAGTTCCTAAGATCACTTTCAGAGTAAACCGTAACTCGTAGTTCAGCTAATCGTCTCACAGCCGATTCGCAACTGTTTCACAAATGAGCTCCCAGTTCTCCCACCTTGCTGCGAGCTTGGAAAAGCGACCCCAGCTCTCCGACCTTGAAGCAGATGTTCTGGAAACTTCTAGAAGAATCGGTTGAAGAGTTTGAAAATGTATTGTCTCGAATCTCCTAGAAAGTCGCCAAGTTTCCGAGAAATTGCTCTTGCGAACTTGGATAAAAATATTTTCGCCAAGGACCTTTAGGAACGGAATAGCCTATATCTCAGGTTCTAATTAAGATGCTTTTACAGTTCCAAAACTATTGCAAGCAGAATTAAATTATCAAAATTTTATGCAACAAATAAACAGTTAAATGTAAGACATATGGCCACAAAGTAGATTAACTTTAAAATAAACAATAAAATTACCATTCTAAGCAAAATACTACAATGATAAAGAAAAACAAAAATACAATCAAAAAGGATTAAAATATTCACAAATATTTATAATATGAGCCCTCTTCTTAAGGACTGCACATCCTGGGCAGTACAGTCCTTAGTACCGGGGATAACTAATTCTCATTACTTTAATAAGGTTCCAGTCTGTTCTAGTGCACTAGCTTAGGTTTAAAAGAAGGAGTTCTTTGTACGCGCACTACAACGTCGTCCAATTTCGAGATTAAGCGGTAGGGCTCTTCCTAAAATGTCTGCAGCTTGGGAGAAATCCCGCGATGATACTTCGGGTTGTACAGCCAGACCTGATTTCCTTCCTTGAATTCCCTCTCTGTCGACATGCCATCGTTAACTCCTTTACATCTATCGGTGGCTGTGTTGATCCTATACAGTCTAACATTCATGTGACCAGCGTCACTAGGCGAAGTTGAGAAGATATTTTAAAATTCCTATACTAAACGACTTACAGTTTGAATCTGTTTAGCATTTAATTCTGTACTCTGAATTAAATCTTTTAATTCGGGCGAACTCTGTTTCCAATGGACCGAACTTCGTACGATACTTGCCGCAGGAAAATATGAAACAATTTCCTTTCCTTTCATAAAAGCACGACGCTTGTCACTTATGTTGGCAGGCACATTTTCGTTTCCTAAGTACAGTAGGGGCAGTCAAATTAGAAGTCCTTTCGAAACTGTAGTTTCCTTTGGCAAATCAGTAATCCCGAAGAGCGACTTTTGGTGAGTTTTCACTGCACCGCTGATGATGCATTTTATTCTTGGAGAGATAGTAATATTATCACGAATAATTATCTTATAGCAACTCATATGAGTTTCATCTATTCCAAACATAGGTATTTCTTCATTAAATGTGAGCAATTCATTATTCTTGACATCTAAGAAAAATCCATGCTTCATCAGAAAATCAAGTTTGAGAATGCACGAATCGATTAAATCAGCCACATAGAATATGTGCTCATATGCATAGGATGAAACTTGATGAGCACCATCATTTTTCCAATGCACTGGCATTTTTTCTCCACTCACGTCTTGTAGGTCCAAAGATAAAGCCGTATACAGTAGGTGATCGTTCGACCGCTTAGTTATATCAGCTCACAGAACAGTCGCATTTGCTCCCGTATCTGCTATCATAAGGGATGGAAAACTGCTGATTTCTATTTCCACGCACCTTTGTTGATCTCCGCCTTGAACAGAAGAAATTTGAAGAAAGTAGTTTGGCGAAGTATCTTCTTTTATTCCTGCTTCCATCTTCCTCATTTCATCGACATTTGCTTCGATGGAATTCTTCATTTCTACAGCATTCACTTCTATCAAGGTCTATTTTCATCTCAGCTGCATTTCCGTCGATATAATTCTTTGTTTGGCAGAAGTTGCGGCTATTATTTCCAATATAGCTTTCAGTTATTTTTCCATCTTTCTGCTTATTGGTATTTAGAGAAACCTCAAATTCTGACATCATTTTCTGTCAGCTACTGGATATTTGATGTTTTTTTTTTAAATAATAAGTTCAGATAAGCAGAAAGAAATAAACAATTTATTAGGAAGATAAGCGCAATATACAATACACCCAGCACAATAATATCTGGAAATAACTCGAAAACGAGAATGCTCAGGGGAAAAAACCGCTTAGCTCAGGGGAAAAAACCGCTAAGTTCCTTAAATCACTGTTAGGATAAATCCTAACTCCAGTTTAGCTAACAGATAAGTCTCATAGCCGATTCGCAACTGTTTCACAAAGGAGTTTCGCAGCTCTCTGACCCTTATTTATACCCTGAAGCAGGGGCTCTAGAAACTTCTAGAAGAATCGGTCGTAGAGCTTCAAAAATGTGTTCCGCGAATCGTCCAAAAAGTCTTCAAGATGGTAAAATCGTCAAATTTTGCCAATGTGGTGACGAAAAGTTTCATCAAAATTCCTTAGGAAC